TTTTCAAACAGTGAGGACAGAAATGGGATAAAGCGTCGGAGAAGGAACCGTAACTTTTTGGGAACTGGGGTTTCAAATGTTCTGTCGGTGTGATCTCGTTCTGATAGCAATATAGAGGAACCTGATGTTTTCAAGACATCCCGGAGTCTGTTCGACCAGTTGCTTGTTTTTCGTTTCTATTACTCATGTAGTTCAAAGTTTTATTATGGTTGGTCATGGCTCTGTTCACTGTCGGTTTCTGGATTTTTGGATTCCGCTTTTATCAGTATCTCAAATGGGGAGAGTTGTTTCCAGCCTCATTTACAAAAGTGTGTGCATATTCCTGATTTGTTCCCTTCTTATGCTGGTGGTTTTCTTTGCTAGCAAGTCAAACAGTGTTAGTCTCCGTTCTTTAAAAACGAGTTGTATGCGAAGGACGGTGTGGCCGTTGTTGAGTATCACTTGCGGAAATATACATTTCGGTATTTTTTCCTCAGCAAAGGAGTCAGAAACTCGCAAGTCTGACACGTCAAAATATGGGTACTTCCGAGTATCCTGCACTTTAACTAATCGCTCGTTTGCCAGTTGATGCTTGTTGCTGTTATCCATTGTCAGCGTGCGAGGTTCAGTAAAACGAGGGACTGAGCTGAAAATTTCAAAAGTATTATGCTCACCAGCATTGGCATCAAAATCAGACATACAGTCTGCTCAGGCGCGACACTTCGTATCCGAATCAAACGCCAAAGGAATAAGTGGCGGTATATGTCAGAGAATGATCATGATCATGCATTTTTGCATCTTCGGTCTTTCCGCGAAATTCCCCGCTCCTCCCGTAATCCCTCATCTCCCTTCGTTGTCCCGCTGGAGATCATTTTACGCTTATCATTCGAACCGAACTCTTACACTTTACCAATTCCACTTATTTAATCTCGGCCCGTTTTTCATTATCCTTATCTACTGTTTTCTGGAAATGGTTCCAAAATTGTGCAGTGGATTTATAAAAATATTATTTCATTTAATTACAAATGACCTATAGTATGGTAACGAAGGAAAGGAAGTAAATATTTCGGTCCATTAAGTAGTGTACATTCCTATTTAGCACTACGTGTCATTATAAAGACGCAAAAAATGCATAAATATAGACTTCCGTAGTCTGCTATACTATTTGGCGGTGCTAGAAAGCAGATAGGCCGGAAATTACTTCTCCCCAGTAACCGTTGTCACTATGGGCTGAAACAACCATATTTCGGTTGCGCATTTCATCTTACGCAAAATCAAACACCTACAGTGGGATGTTTGCCTTCGCGTAAGATGAAATGCGCAACCAAAATACGGTTGCAGTAAAATATCAACATACCAAACGCTTTCTTTTCATCCTCAAGATGCGTACAATTCTTTGTTTCCATGAAACTAACATTTTATTTTTATTATCAGTTAAGGTCAAAAATCCTCTCCATAGATTTGCTTTCTGCAGAGGCACGAGCATTTGAAAGTAGCCCGAGTAGTATTGCGTGCCAGCTGCAACCACTCACCGGCAAACTGTCAATGCTCTCCTCTCAGGATTGTCTGAAATCAAAATGATGGCAGGTCTGACTCTCTGCCATGTATCAGTACCAATTTACCATCGAACTGAATGAACGGGTCGTGAAGGGACGGTTTTTATGCTGCCGGGGCGGGATCACTTGGCGCAACAGTAAATAGCGCTCTTTCTCCTACGCTAGAAGGGGGCTACTTACCGTTGCGCCAAGTGTTTATTATTAAACACGATAATTAACTGGCAATTTTTTAGTATGATCTTTTAAAGAATAAATCAAAAAATGTCTTTTTTGGAAAAAATCCTGGTTTGGTGAGGCTGAGGTTTTTCAAATATGTTTTCCATCCTTGGAAAGACCTGATTTGTTCACTGGATTCACTTGATATTTGATAGCACGGTGGTTTTGCTGCTTGTTTGGCTGGGATATTTGCTCTGTACGCAATTGTTGCGTCACTTTGCGCGCCTCCTGCTTATGTTACACCGCTTGTTACGGATATCGCAGCTTCTTGTTTGCTTGATCAGCAGCGTGGTCTCTAGAGTACTGCGCCTTCTGTTCTCCTGGTTATTTTATCCCTCCGTATTCAGTTGTACGGAAAAACTCCAACCGCGAGAGCATTACTTTTCAGTTTAACAAGCCTTTGTTGCGTAACGGCGCATTTGCATGTAACAGTAGCAATATGCCGCCGCTGAAATAGATATTCAGATGAACTGCTTATCGAGTAGCTCTGCAAAGAGCTTTCTAGAAACAGCATTTCTGGATTTTCACTGTATGTGTCCCTCATGGAGACGGAAAAATGAGAAT